CCTTCTCATCCATTCTCTTGGGATCTTGGGCATGCACGCACACATGCCTTGTGTGAGGTTTAAGCCGCCGGGTCTGGGACTCAAAGTGTGATTGACTACCTGGGAGTCCAGTGATAGAACCATTATGCCATCTGCTGGTCCCTCTTTTTCTTTTTTAGATTTGCTGTAGGCTGGGGCAGCAGGTGGCATGGCAGTTAACACACTGGGCTTCTACATGGTCGACTGAGGTTAGAGTCCTGGACCTGGAGGCTTCCTTTCTCACTTTCCCTCTCTGTCACTATCTCTCTCTAGTCAAATTTAAAAAATAACAATAAATAAAGTTAAATAAATATATAATAATAAAAGATATACTTTAAAAAAAATAGGTTTGCCATAGGTCATGTGTGCTTACCAGAGAAAGAGAGGGAGTGAAGGTAAGAAAGGGAGTGAGAGTAAGAAAGCACCCGGAGGAAGGCCACGCTGCAGTGCTTCTCTTCCATTTCTTTTTCTGGGATTTTGGTCATGCATGAACATGTGGTTGGCATGTTTCTGAAGCTGCCGGGTCCAGGACTTGAACTGTATAGTTGGCCATGCGGGACCCAGTCACGTGAACCACCAGGTCACCAGCTGGCCCTGCATATACTTTTAAAATAAATCACTCACTATGATTTAAGAATGAGGCTATGGGCCCAAGAGCTTGGCTAAGTGCAGGCAAAGTGCTTTTCACGAATCACTGCTTCTGATCCTTGCTACAAACCCTCGAAGCAGGGATGTTATTACTGTTATTTTACACTCAAGCATTTTGCCGGAAGAGAGTCATGCTTTGAGTTTAAGATGTCCAAATGCACAGGTTGGATTTTTAACCACTATGCTGGCTGCATAGTGGGCTTTAAGTGATAGTGCGTTGTTTTATAAATGCAAAATTGGGCTCAAATTTAAAAAAAGTTGTTTTGATTATTTCACATGTTATCGTAGGAATTTTCCTGTCCTGCTTTATGGGATTCAAACTGTGAGCCCCAGAGGCCGTGTCTCACTGAGCAAGGCTGCTTGGATGCTCCCTCTGCTTGTTCATTATTTTTCTTCCCAGCCTCCCTTTATTCCCTGGTCTTTTAATAGAATATATATTTAATAGACAATGTCTTGTAATTGCTTCCTGCGGCCTCCACAAACCTAATCTCTTGGGGAGTCAAGTCTCTGTTCCTTGTTTGTTTTCTTTCTTCTTCTAGTCACAGACTTAAAGTGTATTTTCAACTCAGGGCACATCAGTAATATTGAGAATAAAATATCTAGGCCCATCCAGGATGGTACCTGGTGCTAAGATGCTGTGCTTTTCAGGCCTGGGTTCAGTTCCTGGCCCCATCTGCAGGCTGGGCCCAGAGGCACCCCCGGTAATCTCAGAAGCTGGGAAGGCTGAGACAGGAGAATGATGAACACAAGGCTTTTAGACTCCATCCAAAAGAAGAAAAGCTGATGAGGTTGGGAGGTGTGCACTTGGGGCCCCCTCTGGGAGGCTGAAGCAGGAAGGTTGCAACACACGAAGATACTGCTTTTCAAAGAAGATGAGGAAGGCAGAAGAGGAGGAGAAGAAAGAACAAAATATCCAGCTATTTCAGAGGACAGGAAAGGGGTGGGGTGTCCTAGACCCTCCACCTTCCCTCGCTCAGGGTCGGTTGTTGTTACTGCGGTCACCAGCAGAGGCGGTAAGATCCAGGAGGCTGTGGGTGATCTAACTGCTTTATTGTACTTCTCATCATAGACATTGGCATCATGTTTGAACGTGGCTCTCCAAGTGGCTGTATTGACCAAGGTCTCACAGGGGCGAGGTGGTATGACGGACTGGCTTATTTTGGGGAAACCTAACAAGCAGCAGTTTGAACTCTTTAGGTAATACTGCATGGTTCCATTCCTCTGAATGTCTACAACAGGCAGATCTAGAAAGACGGGAAGTAGGTTCGGGTTGCCTAGGGCAACTGGAAGGCCTGGATTGGAGGCTGACACCTTAGAGGGGTGGAGTTTTTTTTAGGGTAATAAAAATGTCTTAAAATTGTTGTAAGGATGGTTGTGCGAGTCTGTGCACCTGATTGGAACCACTGAATTCTGCGTGTAAGTGGGAAAATTGGTCTACGAGTTACACCTCATGAAAGCCATTAAAAGGTGTATGGATGGGTGTGGAGGGATGGTGTAGCCCCTGTGCAGGTGAGTGGGCACCTGTGCCTACCACAAGGTCAGGGGGTGGGAGCAGGAGCTGGGGTGGTCTCAGCTAGCCCATGGAAACCCTGCACGCCAGAGCCCCAAATACACCCTCTGGGACTGGTGCCAGGGCGTGCTCAGTGTCTTGGTGGTGTCCACACTGCCTACTCCCCCAGGGACGGAGCCTGTGGTCAAGGATGAGAGTGGATCTGCAGGGACTAACAGAGGACCCAGCAGAGAAAGCGGTTTTAAAGACCTCTCCTAGGCCTAGCCCTCAATTTTCCCTTTGTCGAGACTTTTACACTTCAAATCAATGTGTCAGTCACGTAGAATGTGTGCTTGAGTGTGTCTCCCGAGGTTGCTGTGTCAGCTGGTTCCAAGGGGGTCCTCAGGGATCCCTGTCCCCTGATATCCCGCCCCTGCAGGTCGCTCCACCTCGTGCCAGGGCTGGTCGGTGTGACCAAGAGCACGTGGCAGGCGTGCTGGACTGCCCCGTCTGAAGTCGGTTAGGAAAGACGGCTCTTGTTGCTCTCTGTCTTCCATCAGTGACTCTGGGAACCAGGTTGCCACTGTGCTGAGGAGCTCCGTGGAGAGGTCTGCGTGGAGAGGGGCTGAGGCCTCCAGCCAACAGCCACACCGAAGGACTCTGAGCTAACCCTCCAGCCCAGTCAAGCCTTTAGAGGCAGCAGCTCCTGCAGCAGCTGGACCACAGTCTCCCGAGACACCATCTGCCGGACCCTCTGAGCCTCGCGGCTCCCAGTGCTTGACGCTCAGAGACGATGCATTGTCCTGGGGTAACTGGCAGCGTGGCTGTGGGTACCCGAGGCAGTCACATCGGTCAATCTCTGTCCACGTCCTCTGAGGATTGATCAAAGTTTAGCTCTCGTTGTATTCTCCATCCCTTTAGAGGCACACGTCCACAGTGAATTACAGCATTATTATCAATTTTTCACTTGATCATCTCCCCAGATTGGCTGTGGGCTTCATAAAGGCAGGAGACAATGTTTAATTTTTGTTTTCAAATCAACCAGCTTTGTGGCTGGCATAAAATAAGCATCTAATACATGGTCTTTAAATAATGTAAACAGAAAAAAATGCAGACGTGTGTGTGGGGGAGAAACACCAAAGCGAAAGGGCCCCAGGTCTGCGTCCGCCATGCCTTTCTGCAGAGGCTGCTCGGAGCAGTAAGGGCTCCTGACCCTGGACTGAGAGCACTCCAAGATGCCATCTTCGGGCCGCATGAGAAAGGCTGTAGCTCATTCGCTCACACCGCGGGAGTGGTTAGACGACCTCGGGCTCCTGTGTAGAGTGAGGGCGTTGGACAGTGCTCAGTTCACGAGTCTGCCCTGGAGAGTTTGCAGAGCAAGCAGGAAGCCCGGGTCCTCTGGGCGATGTCCTCCGGAGCGAGGAACACAGCTCTGTGTCCCCACCACCCCAGCAGCCCAAGGCTGCGTGGCGCTTTGCCCAGGAGCTCACCGCTCTGGGGGCTGGGGAGGAAGCTGGTGGGCAGCTTTTAATTCTCAGGATTATTTGTGAAGGAAAGGTCATGATATCTTTGTTGTAAAACAGTCTCTTTTTGTGTGTTTTTAATCACCAAGCGTAAAATCCTCTTCACCTTGTGCCCCACGACAGCGGAGGCTACGAGGGACCTTTCCCAGGCAGTAATGATGCCACGGTGATTTAATGGGGTGGAGACCAGGTGCTAACCCAGCCTGCACCCATCCATTCATGGGACTTTCATAGCTGTCACGGCGCTCCGAAACCATCAAAGGAGAGGACAGCTGTCCCAGCCCCCTAGTCCCTACCTGGGAAAAGGGTTAGTGAAGTATTCTAAGTTTCATTCTCCTTCCTGATTCATTTCAGACTGTCTGGACTGCGCGGGGGCCAGTATACTCCTGGGCAGTGCAGAGGAGGGGAAGGGGCGAAGGTAGTAACTGCGGGGCCAGGAATGAGCTGACCCGATGCTGGGAGAGAAAGGAGCGGACACTGGCTGGTGGGCCTGGGGTTAAGGGAGCTGGAATCCCGCCCCGGTGGCTTGGAAAATACACGGGTGCATGTGCGAACATGCTCTGAGGATGGAGAGAGGGGTAGGAGGGACTGCGGTGTGACCACGTGCCATTGGGGGTGCCTTCCCCCCTCCCTCTTCCTCATGAGAGCACACACCCTCCGGGTGGAGACAACAAGCCAAAGAAACAAAATGACAGCCATGTGCAGTGTGGGTCCCGACAGAGGCCTGGGCTGCTATGGTGCCTCGAGACCCCAAAGGACCAGGACCTGGGCCCAGCTTGCCAGCTGCCACAGAAAAGCAGTGTTGGTCCAGATGGAGGGGCCCAAGGCGAGAGGGCGGGGCTTCAAGTGTGGGCAGTGCACGGGCAAGGGAGGGAGGGCAGCTTGCCCCTCAGTCCACAGAGCTCACACCTGTGACATCATACAGAGATGGGACCTTGTCAGTAAGCTCTTACCAAAGGGCATGTGTGCTCAGCAGAGAGACAGAGAAAGAGAAGGAGACAGCACCCCCATCAGGCAAGTTCACGCTGCAATCCCTTCTCGAGTTCCCCATCCTGTTGGGATTCAGGGCACACACACAGGCGGGCCCAGAGGATTTTTCAAGCTACCGGGGCTGGGAATCAAACCATGGTGGGCTGTGTGGGATTGGCTGCCTTACCCACTAGCACAGAGGGCCAGCCTGAAGTCTGTTTTTATATGCTGCCTCTGATGAACTAGTTACTAAGGAGAAGATGATTTTCTATTAGCGTTTTCTTTTATTGAAAATAAAACAGTAAAATGTTTTGAATTACAAGCAAAGCATGAAAACCACTTGTTTCCTGTAAGGTCTCTGCTTGGCATTGGAGCTGTCCGAGGAAATACTGAAACAGCTCTCTGTAAGTGTATCTTTACAATTATACTCAGATGGACGCAAAGCCAATTTTTATAAAGAGTTAAGTATTTTTAGAAAAATTGTCCTTCAAGAAGTGTCAGTTTACGATGTGCTAAAACCTGTATTTCCCAATAATTTACCAGAAATTGATCTCAAATTTGTTGCAGCCTATAAAATATTCTTAATGGCTGCCCTCACAGCAGCAACAGCGGGAAAATCACTCTCGCGAAATTAAAAATGATCAAAAATCATTTGTATTTGCCAAGAGCAAATCGATCAAAAATGAAATTGTTAAAAATATACATTTTTATTATCTGATAATGAATCTGCAGAAAAGGGAGACAGAAAATGTATACCCCATCAAGGGACCGCATTACAAAGTAGTATTATTTATTGTATTGCATAAAATTAGGACACCAACCATATTTTCATAGGGAATGTCATAATTTTTTAAGGGAATAGCTTCCTATTTTAGCATCTCTGACTTCATTTTTCTCTCTGCCTCTGGACAAGTGGCTGCCTGTTTCATTTTGCCTTGAGCTGTGCAATGATGGGGCCAGCCCTCTGACCACCTCGTACCTCCTAGGAGGAGACAAGCGGAGAGACCGCCAGCATGAATCCTCGGTTACAGCGCGAGAGTGATGTGCCATGGAGGTAAACGGAGCAAGGTAACGCGAGTCTGGAGTGCACCGAGGCAACGGGGCACACATTTGAGTGGGTGATAGGAAAGGCCACGGGACATTTTGAAGCTATCAGCGTCCTTTGATACTTTATTGCTTATCGGTATGTGTGTGTGCTTAGTGGACCAAGGGGAGACAACGGTTTCCGGTTTTACTACGGCGATTACAGTTGTAGAAGATGGCTATTGTTTGTCAGTAACAGAAGCTTGTCGGGTAGATAAGATTCACTAAAGCATGGAGAGACATCAGATCCATGATTTTGAACAGATGGGGAAACGGAGGCATGTCGAGAGAAGACATGTTTTGTTGGCAGGGCGGGAACGTCGATGGTAATGAGGCAGTCGTGTGCATACCAATGCTTTATTCTCCTAATTGCATTTATTTAACACATACACGCATACCACCTCAAGCCCCAAACGGAAGCTACAAAACACCTTTAGAGAGGAACGATTATTGTCTCCATTTTAGAGAGGAGGGAATGGATGCTGAAAGGTTAAGCAGTTAGCCCAAAGTTACCTAAAGGTAAATGACAAGAGGGGGCCTTGAACCCAGGTAGGTCCATCTGACTCCAAAGCTCTTGGTTTTTGCCATTATTCTATGCAGAGGTGTGGGCACCTGCCCCTCAAGTCATAATTCTCAGCACCACTGCGCACTGTCTTAGCAGTGGAGACTGACCATGTTGAATAGCCGCCGAGCTTCCAAAACCCACGAGAGGCTGTGGTGACAAGGAGGTGGCACCCCTAGCAACTGTGAGCAGAAACGGCCAACCACAGCAAGAGTAGAAATCACACTGAGCAAAGCACCCAACACCCTGCCCTAGACCTGCAAGGGAATTAGAGCACCCACCCTTCGATCGCAGAATCCCTGCCCCTTGAACCAACCTCTGCTTCTTTCTTCATTCCATCTGTCCATCCTTCTCCTGAATCCTTCATTTGCAGCAGACCTGCCAGAGGGAGAAAGGGCCCTCACCTCGGGGTACAAACTTGCAGCAGGACTGCGAGTTCCTACAGGAAGCTACCCTCCCTGTTCATTCTGAAGGTCTATGCAGCTTGCTGAGCATTGGCTCCTTCCAAGTTTTGGAATCAGCTAGTACCTCACAAGCCTGAGGGCATTTCATCAGACCTTTCTCTGATGGTGGATAGCAATCACGCTGTCATCGATGTGCGTAACTTTCGTCATCTATAAAGCAAGGATAAGTATTACCATCTACCTCAGAAGTTTCTTTTTAGCTTACAGAGTTATTACAGGCATGGTGATGGTTGCTGTCCAGCACACTCACTGTTATATCGATATTACGTATTATTGGCCTGGCCATGAAAGTACTGGTGTAAGTCCTGCGATTCCTCATAAGTGATGAATGAATTGTTTAGATTTTCGCTTTATTTATAGTGGCACAAATGGTTTTAGATGGAGATTATCTAACTTAAAATCTGCTGATTTGTGAATTTATGAACTGAAAGTAAAAGCAAGAAATTCCTCTGAAAATACCTGTATAAAAGTTATACTATCCTGTTTTTTTTTTTCTATTTTGCAATTCTCTTTCATCTTGGAGAAAAATAATGATTATTTCGTGTTCTACATATTGACGTCCACTTTGTGACAGGTATGTTTTTGTTACAAGCATCATTTCGTTTTAAAAATTATGGATGGATAAAGTATTTCTACTCAGGGCTCAAATCGTTTCACTTTAGGGAGAAAGAAGGCAGCATGTGATTCACTCTACTCCTTTGTCTGTTTGGAATTCACAACCCTCCCCTAATTACTCTGGGAGCTGGTCTGCATGGATTCTTAAAGACTGTAGCAGAGACCTGACCCTTGTTCACCAAACCCATCTCCTCTCCTCCCAGGTTATATTTTAGGACAGTCAGCTGTGGTCATGTGCTAGGGTTCCTGGTCCACAGCAGGGGTGCACATAGTGGTGGATCGCTTCAGAGCCCAGCCTCGCACCTCCCTATCAGCAATGTGCAGAATCTGCCCTCTCCCCCAGCTGTCCACCAGCAGCACTGCAGCCTCAGAAGCTGCTTGTCACCGGTGGAGGGGCCCCAGCATGGAAGGGGCCTGGGTCCCTGCATCACCCCATGGAGGAGCTCCTCACTCATCAGGAGCACTAGTGTTTGGGCTCACGAGTGAGAAACACACTTCTGTCCAGTCCAAATGATCACATATTCTAGGGATGGTTGGTTATACCATCTTGTTTTACCTTAACTGTTATAAAGTTGAAAAGCACAGAGAATAGGTTCTAAGGCTTTACTTTCTAAGCATCTTTGAGTTCAGCCACTGACTTGAATTATTTTGGCATCAATTGCTTCTTTTTTAAAATTTTTTTTTCCTACAGCCTGTGTATGTATTTATTTACATCCAATCACCCTATCTCATTATAGCATTTTCCCAGCATGACACACTGTATATTAGCCCAGTCAAAGATATTATCATATACGTTATCATCAACAGATAATTTACCATTTTTCTGTCCCTTAAATGTTTTATTTTTCCCTTTTCCCTCCTGGTTCCTTCCTCTCACGCTTTCCCATTTCCCACCCTCCTCTCACACTGTCTCTAGGATCCACAGTTGCTCTACATGACTTTATCCCCTCTAGTCTTTCAGTGTCTGCCATAGAGTGCTGACATTTGGTGTAGGTTGAGTGGGGACATACAATGCCTCTCTTTCATAGTCTGGTTTGCTTTGCTGAGCAGTGAACCTTCCTTATTCATCCACTTTCTATCACATGCCAAGGTCTCGTTGGTCTTCCTGGCTGAGTAGTATTCCATAGTGTGTCTGTGCCACACTGTCTCAATCTATTCATCTGTTCATGGCCATTTGAGTTGGTTTCATATCTGAACAATTGTGAATAATTCTGCAATACACATGTACAAGTGTTTTTCTGACAGAGTGTATTCCTTTCCTTTGGGAAGTTACCTAGGAGTAGAATTGCTGGGTCATATGGTAGTTCTATTTGTAGGTCTTTGAGGAACCTCCATATCATTCCCCACAGTGGCTGGACTAATTTACATTCCCACCAACAGTGTAGGAGGGCTCCTTTTCCCCTCAACCTCATCAGCACTTATCATTCTTTATTTCTTAAATTTTAATCATTCTGACTGGGTTAGGTGGCAAATTATTGTGATTTTGATTTGTATCTCCCTTATAATAAGAGATATTGAACATTTTTTTCATATGCTTTTTGGCCATTCATATGTTTTCCCTAGAGAGTTGTCTGTTCAGCTCATTTGTCCATCTTTTTATTGGGTTTTACTTCTTAACATTTTCTCCTGCCAGTTCCAAAAGACAATCAGTGGAAGAGGCCTCTATGTACTGAAGGGAGGCCATGACCTCTGGAAACCTTTCAGTAATTACCTCTTACAGCAGCTGCAAGCAGACACAATGGTGGTTCAGTGGGTTTGCCTGTACTCTGTCTGGGGGTGGTCACTTCCATTTGCATTTTGGCCAGTGGATCCCCACCATGCGATGGGCGCGCAGTAGGTATTTATTCAGTTTTGTGCTCATAGAAAATTGAGCTGGCATCCTTGTCATCCAAGAATTTCTAGTCAATGTTTTGAAAATTTTTTAAAATTATTTTTTGTTCTCTAAGGAAAAAGACACCCTTCTCTTGTTTGACTTCTCAGGGCTCTTTTGAAACCAGCTCAACTTAATTTTTTCTTTTCATCTAAAATGGCAAAATAGTGACTCCATTGAAGAACATGCAAATCAATAAAAAAAAAAATGCAGGTTAGGGCAATTGTGATGCTTTCAGGAAGAAACACCGTGTACCTGCTGTAGACTATAGAGATACGAACCCCAGCCCCTCTCCGTATTGAGAACTAGGGATGCTTCCTACCCACCGCCCACCACCCACCCCCTCTCAGAAGAGCTCCCAGACGACTTCTCGAGAGACCCAGACTCCCTTACCAGGACACGGCTCCAGCCTGGCTTTAACTATTTCCATTTCTGATTTGCATAGCGGGAGCAACAACATCGATCATTTCTTGGGCCAGAACATCCATTTGGGGAAATCTATTTTCGTGTGAGCAGAGAAATATCCCGAGTCTGGCTGCTTCTGGAGGAAAACCAAATGATGACAGCAAGAGTCCCTAAAGAACTGTTCAATCCCTCCACCCAGCCAGACAGAAAGTCATTTCCCTTTTTCCATATGTAAAGAAGCAGGCCCTATGAGCAATTTCCTCAGAGGCCAGGTTTTGCAGGTGGTCATGTGTGCATGGAGTGAATGTATTCTGCAGTTAACGTTTGGGTGCTTTGTTTTCTGTTTCCTTTTCTTCTTTCAGGCAGAAACTTGGCTCTCTGTTGGAACCGAGAGGAAAACACAGGTGCCTTCGGGTCTTGACAGCAATTGTCAGGGCTTAGATGGTTCTAATAGCTGATCCAGGCAAGTCAGGGCACAGTTCTAAGCCCTTTACATTTATTAACTGATTGCATTTTCACAACCATGTTAAAGTCAGTACTGTTTGTTATGACGTGGACACAGGTGAAGACCCAGCACATGGGCACAGACACAGGCTGTTTCTCCAGGTTTCAGCAGAATGGGAGAGTCAGCCCCACGTCTGTACTCCCAACCCTCATAGGCAGGAGCATGGTATAAAAGCTTCCCTGGTGTGGGGGAGCCAGAGACTGGCTGGCAAGGAGCACTCCTTCGGAGATGAATTCGGGGCATGCATTTGGCTTCTCTGGTATATCTGGAGTAGAAAGTGGTGGCAAAAGCAGAGAAGCTGAATGTCCCTGGATGAGTCCTGACTGGTCTGGGCTGGCTGCTGGGGAGGGCGTGGGTGACTGGTCCATTTCTAATGTCATATATGGTCTGACTGTTGTCCGTTTTCTGTGCAGCCCTTCTCCTCGTATCTTCATTCAACAGAACGTGGATCTGAGGTGCGGAGAGAGAATGACCCCTGTTCAAGATTGAGCAGCTGGTAGCTACCAGGCTGGGATTCGAACCCTGGTAATCCCGAGTTCTTAGTGACCGTACGGGGCACCCTGACGTATTCTGCCTGATACCCCACCCACCCTGAGCTGGCCTGATGCTGACATCATGCTATTGTTTGTAGCTCTGTAATCATGATGTGCCCCGGTAGCGGAGCTGGTGTTGTCATAAATGAGGAACTAACTGGAGACTTGGTCAGGGTCATTGCTTGAAGAGGCTGATGCGTTTGTATTCGCTTGTCCCTGGCTCAGTCTAGTCTCATGGCAAAGCGAGCCCACTCTGGCACCTGCAGCGGCCGAGCTGTGTCTCCACCGAAGCTCATCAGAGCCTGGCCCACATTTGTCGACTAAGCGGCCCCCGCCCTCACGGAGCCCAGACTCGCATACCCAGCAGTCCGGGACGCGCCCACAAGCATTAGTGCACTCACAAAGACAGCCACCAAGCTTCTGTCACGCACAGCCACGTCCTTATAATGGCGCCTTCGGGGAAGGCTTGGGCGGCTTATTTTAGTATGTTTTTTAAGTTTGTTGACATCAAAGTAGTTTTAAAAGAAATTCTTAGTATTCTTTCACTGTCATTGTTGTATGTTTTTCCCAATCAAATCAACCCACTGCATCAGTAAATACCTAAACCTTCCAACGAGGCCACTTAATTGTCAGCCGGCAGCCTGCAAAGGCTCCTTTATCTGCAAGAGCCGCTTCCTTTGTGTGGCAGCGAGGGCCCCAGAAAAGGCTGCTGCTTCTGCATTAATTACTCTTCAGAGCCACCTCTTAGCGTGCACAGTGACTTCAGAACTTGTGAAGGCTCGTGGCTGCATAGCTCTGTATTTTTTTTTGGGGGGGGGAGAGGTTTTTACTGTAGGGTGCGTGTGCTTGCCAGACAGACAGAGAGAGACAGAGAGACAGAAAGTGAGAAATCACCTCCTAGGGGGGATGGTCATGCCGCAATCCCTTCTCTTCTATTCTCCTCTTGGGATCTTGGGCACACACGCACATGCGTGTCCAGCGTGAGTTTTAAGCTACTGGGTCCGGGATGCGAACCGTAGTCGACTGCGTGGGAGTCCAGCGACATAGCCACTACGTTAACTGCTGGTCCCCCATAGCTCTGTATTAAACGGCGTCCCCACCAGCCTCTGTGCTCCGGATTGTGCCCAAGACTTAGGAGGTAAGCGAGGAAGGGACATTGGGTGTCCGTGAGCCTTCTCCGACGACGCTCCTGAGAAGTACCCCCACTCGGATGTGCTGAGTCTTCACCCTCCTGAGCTGCAATTCCCCATCACAGCCTGTGAGCACCAGGAAAGCTGCACCGGCGGAAGCTGCTCAAGGAGATGGCCTGGACGTGAAGCTCGAACGGCTGTTTAGGTTGATGGTTTTCCCAACCGGGAGACTGGAGGGCCGGGGGACAGCCGAGAGAGACAGGATAATGTGCTTTGTACTTCCAGGCAGGGAAGGGGCTTGGTAAAAAGTAAAATCTAAAAGGTCAAGAACACAGCAAAGAGCCAACTGCCGGCATGGTGGTTAGGGTGCTGGATTCCACATGGCTGACTTCAGTTTGGGTCATGGACCCAGGGATTAGAAAACCAGGCTGAGGTGTGTGCATGTGTGCCCTGAACCCTGAAAGGAGGGAGAAATGGAGAAGGGCTATGGTGTGACACCCCGGGGATGTTCGCGCACACGCCCCCTCTATCCGCTGAGTGCACAAGCCCCCCGGCAAATGAAAAAGGAGAAATAAGAAAGATACTAGGCATGGCACTGTCTTTGATGGGGCCAATATTCAGTATATTCTGGATCGGAAAATTCATTTTGTATGCTGTCGTGATAGACAGTGAGTGAATATACGATTAAAAAATAAAATAATCACGTATTAAAAAAAAGAAAGAAGAAGATGAACCAAAGCATGAACATCACGAGGTTGCAAGAGATGACTTGTTCTCCCTCTTTCTTGCGTTGGTTATATTTCCTGGGATTTAGCAATAAATGTGCATTCTTTCTCAGGTTGAAAAAGGAAGAAGATTCCAAGAAAATGCTCACCCACGTGTCGCTCTCACGGACCTCTTCTTCCTGCTCTCCCATGCCCTTCTGGGTGGGTTCTTCATCCTCACGGCTGCTGCCCTGGAGCTGAGTGAGCTCACATCCTCATAGGTGCAACACGCACAGGGCGGAAACGGGTGGGTGTAGTCGACTGCGTGGGAGTCCAGCGACATAGCCACTACGTTAACTGCTGGTCCCCCATAGCTCTGTATTAAACGGCGTCCCCACCAGCCTCTGTGCTCCGGATTGTGCCCAAGACTTAGGAGGTAAGCGAGGAAGGGACATTGGGTGTCCGTGAGCCTTCTCCGACGACGCTCCTGAGAAGTACCCCCACTCGGATGTGCTGAGTCTTCACCCTCCTGAGCTGCAATTCCCCATCACAGCCTGTGAGCACCAGGAAAGCTGCACCGGCGGAAGCTGCTCAAGGAGACGGCCTGGACGTGAAGTTCGAGCGGCTGTTTAGGTTGATGGTTTTCCCAACCTGGAGACTGGAGGGCCGGGGGACAGCCGAGAGAGACAGGATAATGTGCTTTGTACTTCCAGGCAGGGAAGGGGCTTGGTAAAAAGTAAAATCTAAAAGGTCAAGAACACAGCAAAGAGCCAACTGCCGGCATGGTGGTTAGGGTGCTGGATTCCACATGGCTGACTTCAGTTTGGGTCATGGACCCAGGGATTAGAAAACCAGGCTGAGGTGTGTGCATGTGTGCCCTGAACCCTGAAAGGAGGGAGAAATGGAGAAGGGCTATGGTGTGACACCCCGGGGATGTTCGCGCACACGCCCCCTCTATCCGCTGAGTGCACAAGCCCCCCGGCAAATGAAAAAGGAGAAATAAGAAAGATACTAGGCATGGCACTGTCTTTGATGGGGCCAATATTCAGTATATTCTGGATCGGAAAATTCATTTTGTATGCTGTCGTGATAGACAGTGAGTGAATATACGATTAAAAAATAAAATAATCACGTATTAAAAAAAAGAAAGAAGAAGATGAACCAAAGCATGAACATCACGAGGTTGCAAGAGATGACTTGTTCTCCCTCTTTCTTGCATTGGTTATATTTCCTGGGATTTAGCAATAAATGTGCATTCTTTCTCAGGTTGAAAAAGGAAGAAGATTCCAAGAAAATGCTCACCCACGTGTCGCTCTCACGGACCTCTTCTTCCTGCTCTCCCATGCCCTTCTGGGTGGGTTCTTCATCCTCACGGCTGCTGCCCTGGAGCTGAGTGAGCTCACATCCTCATAGGTGCAACACGCACAGGGCGGAAACGGGTGGGTGTCACTGGCGTCCCTGTTCTCTGAGTCCCCGGCCCACTCCAATGCCTCACACGACTGCACAGTGTACAGCCCAGGTGCCACGTCTGCTGGCTACAAGGGAAGCCAGGGCCATGAGGGCGTGACGAGGGGGGGTTCTCGAGGGTGGTGACTCGCTGCCAGGTGCTTTTGTGGCAATGGGGCCTGGCTCGGGGGTGGGGAGGGGTTGACCGTGAGTGGTTAGTGAGAGCTGGCCCCCACCGTCTCCTCTTGTGCAGCACCCTCAAACTGGTCCCCACTCTAGTGGGGGCTCTTTCCCCCGTTCTGTATCCGGGTCCACAGGAACTCCCGTCCCCTCAGCCCCTGATACGCAGATAAGCCGACCCAGGTGGGGGCACTGACTGTGGCTCCCAAGTCAAGATTCTACTGAACTATTTATCCTTTGTAATAAAGCCTTCTGAGCACATTTGGGTTTCATATAAGAATTAAGAAGTTTCTCCTTGTAGCCGTGAGAACACTCCCCTAGAGAAATCACCATTCTACGCAGATTCCCTCTGAAGTCTGTGGCTTTTCAGGGACGTCGGGAACCAGAGGGAAAGTGACCTCCGGTTGATGGAACGCACAAAACCGCCTCCTACAGCGGCTGGGAGCCTGGTCGTTGGGCTCAGAGGGCCGACGTCCCCACTAACAGCCTGCCATGCTCACATGGCCTTTCCAGGTCGCTCCTGCAGAAGCAGGCACCGTGCTCACAGCGGGCTGGAAGGGGACATGATGCCGGGGACTCCAACCTCCCTGGCAATGGCCGAGGAGGTCACGACAGTCACAGGGACACTGGACGTGTGCTCTGCATGCAGTGCCAGGGGACGGCAGAGTGGCCGAGACGCGATGCTGGCTTGTAGACTCGTCCACCTGTTCTAAATAAACTGACCGCTGCAAGTGACTGCTAGCTGTTCTGGATTAATCACAGTCTGACGGGGGGACATGACAACTGTCTCTAGAAAATGTGAATGGATGAGCAAAATCCGCAAGACAGAGATATAGATAATTGAGTCAGGGTCCCCTCTCGTGCGCTCGCCTGGGAAAGACCCCTCGTCTGGGATAATGTGAAGATCTTTCTGCCTGGACATGGGATAAAGGAGGAGAGAGAACCACCCTCGGGGACAT